AGAGTTTACTCCCCTCCTGGGTGTAGGTTCCCTTCAGGTATTGATAGGCTGCAATGAGGTCACCCCGCAGCCTTCTCTTCTCCAGGCTGAACAAGCCCAACTCCCTCAGCCTGTCCTCATAGGGGAGGTGCTCCAGCCCCCTGATCATCTTAGTCGCCCTCCTCTGGACCCTTCCCAAAATGTCTATGTCTTTCTTATACTGAGGGCTCCACACCTGGACACAGTACTCCAGATGGGGCCTCACAAGAGCCGAGTAGAGAGGGACAATCACCTCCCTGTCCCTGCTGACCACCCCTCTCCTGATGGAGCCCAGGATCCCATTTGCCTTTCGAGCTGCCAGAGCGCACTGCTGGCTCATATTCAGTCTCTCGTCCATCAGGACCCCCAGGTCCTTCTCTGCCGAGCTGCTCTCAAGGAGCACTCCTCCCAGCCTGTACAGGTGCCTGGGGTTCTTCCGGCCCAAATGCAAAACCTTGCACTTTGCCGTGTTGAACCTCATTAGGTTCACCCGAGCCCAGCCCTCCAGCCTGTCGAGGTCCCTCTGAATGGCATCCCTTCCTTCCACCGTATCAACCGCACCACTCAGCTTGGTGTCGTCAGCAAACTTGCTGAGGGTGCACTCAATTCCCTCATCGATGTCATTAACAAAGATGTTAAAGAGCACCGGTCCCAAGACAGACCCTTGGGGGACACCACTTGTTACCGGCCTCCACCTGGACATGGAGCCATTGACCACCACCCTCTGTCTGCGGCCTTTCAACCAATTGCTTATCCGTCGGGTCGTCCACCCATCAAATCCACTTCCCTCCAATTTGGAGATGAGGATGTGGTGGGGGACCATGTCAAAGGCCTTGCTCAGGTCCAGGTAAATGACATCGGTCGCTTTCCCTTTGTCCACCAATGCCGTCACTCCATCATAGAAGGCCACAAGATTAGTTAGGCATGACCTTCCTTTGGTGAAGCCGTGCTGGCTGTCTCAGATCACATGCTCATTCTTTATGTGATCGAGCATGTTGTCCAGGAGGATCTGTTCCATGATCTTCCCAGGCACGGAGGTGAGACTCACCGGCCTGTAGTTCCCCGGGTCCTCCCTGCTCCCCTTCTTGTATATGGAAGTGACGTGACCCTTCCTCCAGTCATCCGGGACCTCACCTGACAGCCACGACTTCTCAAATATGATGGAGAGCGGCTCGGCAACCACCTCAGCCAGCTCCTTCAGGACCCTGGGATGCACGCCATCCGGCCCCATAGACTTGTATTCATTCAGTCTAAGGAGGCACTCTCGGACTTGCTCTGCCCTTACAGTGGGGAGGGATTTACCTCCTTGGTCCCCACATAGAGGTTTGGGGATGCAGGGCTCAGGGACGTGAAAAAGACTAGAATCCTGGCCACCAGTGAAGACCGAGGTGAAGAACTCATTCAGCACCTCAGCTTTCTCTTCATCTGTTGAAGCCAGTTCTCCTTTTAAATTTACCAAAGTAGGTATGCCTGTTTTGGCCTGTCTCTTCTGGCCAATGTACCTGTAGAAGGTTTTCTTATTGTTTTTCATGTCCCTTGCCAAGTTCAGTTCTGCCTGCACCTTGGCTTCCCTGATCCCACGTCTGCAAGTCCAGATGGCTTTTTTTTTTTTTTTTTTAAATATGTACACACACCTGGTAACTCAAAAGAGAAAAAAAAATAGAATACGTAACAATAATAATAAAAAAAAGTTATTCTGGTTTAAAAACAATCCATTCCTACCACGCTAGGCGAGCGATTGATTGCACAAGGCCCACAAGTGGCTGCCCGGCCAATGGTGGCAGGGCGCGAGGCTGCGGGACACGGCCCCCCCATGGCCTCCACACCTGGCCAGGGCAGCATCCCTGCCCCACACAGTCCTGCCGGGGTGTGAGTCAGCGCCTGAGTCCCAGGGAGGGGTGGAAAAAGGGAGAAAAAAGCCCTGGGGCTTCCAGCCCATCTCCTCATCCCCGTCAGCTGGGGGCTGCAGAGCGTCCGTGCCCATGGAGCCCTCTGGTGCCAGCGGGTGCCCAGCCAGGAGGTGAGCGGGCGAGCGGCTCTGCCCCTCATACTGAGACCTTGTACGTGGTGCCCCCCACGCCAGAAACCTTCTTGACTCCTCCACGCGTGGGGCTGCTGACAGGCACGGATCCCGAGCCGGGGGTGGCCGAGCTCAGGCTCTTGGGTTGCCCATTGGAATTACTGCAGGATGTTCTCATCTGCATCTCGTCTTTTGGTGCCAGTAACGGCTGCAAGGCCACCTGCTCGGTCTCGGGGATGCTGGCCTGAGACGCTGCTGGTTTTTGGCTGCTGTAAGACACAGATTTGCCCAAGTGGGGGGCAGCGGGCTGCTCAGGTGAGCCCAGGGAGCGCACCCGCAGCGCGTGGGAGGGCTCAGGCTTGCCAAAGCGGGGAGGGGCCGGGTGAGTGAGCGGATTCTTGCCCAGAGGCGAGCGCTTCGAATCGTCCGAGGAAGAGCTGGTGCGGGGGGCATGGCTGGAGCCTGGCGTCGACTGGATGCCCGAGTCTGCCAGCCCAGCATCGTCCTCCCTGCCCGCTGCGGGAGGCTGCTGGAGCAGTTTCTCCCGCTCCTGGATGGAAGCCACGATGTGGCAGGAGAGATTGTCATAGCGCACGGGTGAGGGCTCGCGGGGTGGCACATGCTTGGGTGAGACGGCGGCAGCAAAGCGGCCATGCAGGTCGGTCTCTCGCTGCTGGGCGATGCGGGCCGAGAGGAAGGGTGATGTGTAGCCCAGCGGTGGGTCGGGCTCGGGGCCAGCCTGCACCGACTCGAAGTCGGGGCTGTCGGAAGGTGTGAGCAGGCTGTCATACGACAGGCTCCCGTTGCGTGTCTGGTTCACCAGGCTCTTGCAGGAGGTGGAGGTGGTGCCCTCGAAGCGGATGGACTACAGGTGGCCCACTTCAAAGCCCGTGCCCTGGGCCGACTTGAGGCTGGAGGAGTGGGATACACTGGACAGCGGGTCGAAGGGAAAGCTCTTGCCAAAGGTGGGCGAACGGAAGCTCTCAGGCTCCAGGCTCGGCTCTGAGCGGTAGCTGGGCTTGCGGCTGCCTTCGCCAATGGAGTTGGGCTCCTTCAGGCTGTTTACTCGGCTCAGCTTGGCGCTGGTGGAATGGGGCAGGGCAGCTGAGCTGCTGCTGCTGCTGTATCCAGGCTGGTAGTTGTACATGGTGGGTGTCAGGGGGCTGTCCTTGCCTAGCAAGCTGCTGTCCTCGTTGGTGGCCAGGGTTAAGTGTGTCCTCAGGCCCATGTAGCGGCTGAGGTCTGGCTTAGGTGGGGGTGGCGTTTCGGCATCAGCAGACTGGCTCTCCATCACCTCCAGGCTTCCTTTGGACTTTGTCCTCTTCAGCTCTGTCTGGATACCATTGTCCATGATCTTGACAGTGATTTGGCCATCTGACACATCGGGCCGCAGGAAGGGGGGTCTCACCAGCACCGTCTGCTCAGCCCTTGGGCGCCCCAGGTACCTGGGGGCTGGGGAGCTACACAGGACCCGGCTCACATTCTTACAGCAACCATTAGTGAAGGGGTTGACACCACCTCGGAACTTGCCTGTCACCTGCTCATTGGTAGTGCGGCCCCTTGCCACAAGCACCACGTGGAACCCAGTAAGGCCAGCGACAGGAATGAAAAACAAGCTGGCCACACACATCACAGCCATAGTGACGGCCATGCGGACACCAGAGAGCTCTGCCTGGTAGAGGACATAAAGCAGACCAAAGCCGAACACCCCCATGATGTGTGTAGTGAGTGACAGCAGGAAGAGGAAGAAGTAACGGTAATTGCGTCACCCGATGCAGTTGTTCACCCAGGGGCATTGATGGCCAAACTCCTCCACACAGTTGTCGCAGACGCTGCAGTGGGAGCAGCGCGGTGGCCGGTAGAAGCGGCAGGTCGCACACCATTTCATGCGCACCTGAATGCCCTTGATCTCCACTGTCTTATAAGGCGGAGCTCGGAAGTCATCTTCCTTATCCTCATCTTCTTCAGCTCGTGGGAATATGCCTGGGTCCATGAAGGTGGCCATGCTGAAGTTGGCCAGCACGAAGAGGAAGACAACAGCATTGTAGATGGGAATGACTGGGGAGACGTAGAGGCTGAGCCAAGGGCACGTGAAGGCAAAGAAGAGGGTGGTGGCTCCCACTAGGAAGATGGCAGCAGCTGAGACCGGAACGTATTTGCTGGGTTTGAACCTCTTTCCAAATGCTGCTGGCATGTTGGAGCTCTGGTGGGGAATCTGCCCTGCAGCATAGCCCAGGCCCAGCTGGAGTCAAAGCAAGGCGAGAAGGGCAGGGGAGACGGAAGGGGCCAAAGCACAACCCAAGCCTCCTGGGTCACTCCTGGAGCAGACTCTGAGCAGAGCAGGCTGTCTGCAGAAGTCCACTGCGGTCTCCGGAGCAAGAGGCCCTGAGGAGTCCACGCTACTCTCTGCCTTGTGAGAGTTCAGGGGTGCAGGGAGGGAGACTTAAAACCATTAAAAAATTCAGCACAGAGAACTGGATTGGATTTAAAACAGCTGTTGGAGCAGGAATGCTGAGAGCCCTTGAGAGCATGCAAAAAGCAGCTCCCCGTGCAGCTTGCAGCAGCCACCAGACACGAAGGTAAGCTTTCCGTGCTGGGACAGGAGCAAGGCAAGAAGCACAATGCGTGAGAGCACCCTGGGAAAGAGCAAGATAGCGGTAAACTTCTTGCAAAAAGCCACTCTGGGAAACCACTTCTCCTTTTCAATCTGATATCCACAGCCCCCTCCGGCCGCTGTCTCACAAGCGATCTGCCCAGCTTCCTTGCAGCGCTGCTGTGCCTCCTCCTCCTCCTCCCCGGAGGCGGTACAGAAGCACTCTCCCTGATTTCACCAGAATCTAGGCTGGCTGCCTGGCGGTGGCCATTTAATTTTATTTATTTCTCTTTGACTGTTAAAGCCGAGGAACAGCTGGTGCAAGGTTGAGCTGTAAATCCTTTCTTTGAGAGGGGGGCTGGAGGGGAAGGTCCTATGGATTGTGCATTTTCACCCTCTTCCTACTTGTTCCTTTCTCCAGACCCTCTGGGCCTTTCCACAGGCTTCACTGCCACTCAGTTGTTGCAAATCAACAGGAATTGCACCAAATCTTCACTGTGGCAACCATTCCTGAGCAGCACAGCAGCAGAGATCTGAAAGAACGCTTTCAGGGAGGACTTTTATACCCCCAAAAGACAAGTGACGGTGGAAGCAATGCTGAAAAAGTCTGTACCGCCCATGGCCCAAGCAGTGTGGGGGCAGGTCTCAGTACATTCCAAACCACTCCATTTCTACTGAATGGAGGGGAAGTAAAGTCGCTCTTCATTAATCCATTTCTTCGCTCAAAAAAACTCAGGAACATTGAGAATGCCACACCTCACCGGCACTCTGCGGCGCGGCCCGGGCGGTGCCCAATGCCACCAGGCACGAAGTGACAGCCCCTGGATCCCCGTGCTGCCCCTGCTGAGCACGGTGGCGTTCTCCTGGTCCTGCCCTCCCTTTTCCTGAGGAGCTCCCTCGCTCTGTGGCACTGTCTGCTCTTCCTGGATGGAAACAGAGGGACCGGGATCACTGCCTTGTGCCACACGGCCCTGCTCCTTCGTGCAGCTTCCAGGATGGGTCTTCTTAATGGCTGAGCTGCTGCTGCTAGCTGGTTCCCTACATATTCTTTTCAGCTGGGGTCTCTCCACATCTTCTCTAAGCTTCTCTTCTGCCACTATCACAAATCAGCTGACACAGAGCGGACAGGTGTCTGTGTTCCGTGCATGCTTGTTCTCATAGGCGCTGTGGTCTCCTGCTCTGCCCACAGGTCCACACTGCCCTGTTGCCAATGCAAACGTGCCTGTCCCAGCGATGGAAGGGCAAGTGGTAGGGCAGTGCAGTGTGCCTCTGTGGAGAAGGCAGGAAGCCTTGTAGCTACCAGATGGTCTCCGAGGCCTTCTTGTAGGAGGCCAGAACCTCCTCTGGTAGCCCAACGCACCGCTGTGTCTGTATTTTTACCATGTGCTGCTCCAGCTGCTTTTCAGAGCCTCATTCAGGAACAACTGCTCCTCATGAGGCTCCACAGTGGGCTCTGATAGTCGCTGAGGCATCTGAGGAGCAGACTTTTCCTGCTGAGTGTCTTCTCTATGTATTGCCAGGCCCGCTTCCTCCTCTGGTTTCCCTTCTGGGACAACACATTCCAAGGTTTCCAGGACTTCTTGAGGCTCAAGAGCATCGGAAAGCATGAGGCAGGGTCCCCAGACCCGCCCTGGGGATGGCCCTGACTCGGATCAGCATGATCCGGAGTATCGGGTAGAATATAGTGTCATCCTTCAAGCTGAGGAAGCAGCTAATTCTCCAGAAATCAGCCATGTCTGTGACGTGCAGAGAAAGCCAAGCGGTCAGGCTTCTCTTTCCAGTCCGCTCACAGGCAAACTCACACCCAGCCTCACTCTTGTGCTGGGCTCCTGTCTGTGGCTGATTTACATGTGGGCAGCCACTGTGTGACAGCGGGGTCCCTGTAGGGGCCGGCTGGAACAGAAGCGTCCTGTGCTTGACTGCATTGATCCATGTAACGTAGCAGTGGACACGGCCCCCCTCTGGCTGCTGGGCAGCATCAGCAGTCTGGTTCTGGCCTTGCTCCCTTTTGGCCCCTTTCCTGGGTAGATGCTTATTTCTCACTGCCTTGTGTCCTCCTGTGCCTGGTGCTACAGTTGCAAGAGAAGCCAAAGTCCAGGTGCCTTCACTCCCAGGCACACAGGCAGCTTTGCTGCACTTGGGGCAGAGCCTCCTGGACCTGACTCCATCCTGCCTGAGTCCCTTACTCTCCTGCTTTTTGTTTTGTGCTCTGCACAGTGTGGCATCAGGACTCTCTGCTGCTGGCTGTGCCCTTCAGTGCCCCTGGGACTGCTCCAGCCAGGAAGCCAGAAGCCAGCAGCTGGTTCTACTGGTTTTCAGTCATTGTGCTGACCCTGTAAAGCCCTAGAAGGGCATTGAACATCTCTTCCAGGCTGGGTCTTTCTGCTCGGCAGGTCTCTGCAGTGTTCTGAGGGTCTTCTATTTGTGGGGAATTATTTCCTGAAGGAGCTGTCCTGCCTTGTGACAGCCCCTGGATCCCTGTGTTGCCCCTGCTGAGCACGGTGGCGTTCTCCTTGTCCAGCCCTCCGATTTCCTGAGGAGTTCCCTCGCTCTGTGGCACTGTCTGCTCTTTCTGGATGGAAACGGAGGGACCGGGATCACCTCCTTGTGCCACACGGCCCTGCTCCTTCGTGCAGCTTCCAGGATCGGTATTCTCACTAGCTGAGCTGCTGCTTCTAGCCGGTTTCCTACATATTCTTTCCAGCTGGGGTCTCTCCACATCTTCCCTAGGCA